TGCAAATCCCACTCAGAGGAATTGGAAGATCATTTTTTTTACTTTACGTAACAAATCATAAAAGTAAATAATAATAATAAATCCTATAGCACACTCAATCATTCATTCATTTTATGTACCTCTCAAAACCTCACAAGCTTTTAGCTCCTCTAATTTTCAAGGTTATGGGTTCTGGGTTTTGTTTTGTTTTGTTTTTTTAAAAAAATGATGCTGCCAAAAAAAAGTGATTTCTGTTCTTCATCATCCTAAAATGAAGCTGCATTTCACATTGCTGAAATCAGCAACACGTTGATTGATGTTTCCACAGTGCCTTAGACATCAAAACAGTATTGAAATATACATTTTAAAGTCCGTAATATTAGTAGCATGCGTGTGTTCCAGCATCTCCAGAAATGGTGAATGCTCCAACACTGGAAGTTTTTAAGAAGAGACTGGACAACCATTTGTCTGAAACGGTATAGGGTTTCCTGTGTGAGCAAGGGGTTGGACTAGAAGACCTCCAAGGTCCCTTCCAACTCTGTTATTCGGTATTCTGTTATCTCTTTCTAAATGGCTTGCCTTTGTAAAAAAAAATTGAATATTTTAATTCGATCCCAGATATTAATATAAACACTCTAAAAGAAAGACATGCTATAAATCTCAGATTTCTACCCTTATCTTTTACAACTCTTCTATGGGCCTTTCTTTTTCCTACTGCAGGTAATCCTCGACTTAAAACATTTCATTTAGTGACCGTTCAAAGTTGCAACGGCACTAAAAAAAAGTGACTTAGGATCGTTTTTCACACTTACGACCATTGCAGCACCCGCTCAGTCATGTGATCAAAATTCAGACCCTTAGCAACTGGCTCATATTTATGACCATTGCTCAGGGGTGGGATTCAGCCGGTTTGTACCAGTTTGGCAGAACCGGTAGCTAATTTTTTGTTGCCCGGGCCCAGAATGGACTTCCGGAAGTGGCATCCACACAGAGAACCAGTTGTTCACATATTTGAATCCCACCACTCCTTCCTTCCTTCCTTCCTTCCTTCCTTCCTTCCTTCCTTCCTTCTTTTCCCCCTCCCTTCCATCCATGCTCTCCTTCCTTCCTTCCTTCCTTCCTTCCTTCCAGTGGTGGGATTCAGCTGGTTTGCACCAGTTCAGCAGAACCAGTAGCTAATTTTTTGTTGCCCAGGCCCAGAATCGACTTCCGGAAGCGGCATTCACACAGAACCGGTTGTTCACATATTTGAATCCCACCACTGCCGTTGCTGTATCTCAGGGGTTATGTGATCCTCTTTTGGGATCTTCTGACAAGCAAAGTCCACGGGGAAGCCAGATTTACGTAACTGCCGTATCACTAACTTAACCCCTGCAGTGATCCACGTAAGAACTGTGGCAAGAAAAGTCGTAAAGCGGGACAAAATTCACTTAACAGCTGTCTTCACTTAGCAACATAAATGTTGGGCTCAATTGTCATAAGTCAAGGACTACCTGTAGGTGGAACATGCCGGCATTTTGTTTCTCTTCAATATCAATATTCAATATCAACCATATAACTTGCTTTCCCTCCACCCCGCCTCCAAATTAAGTGGATAATCAAAACTATGGGATTAGATTCTTGAAAAGGCAACTTTCAATTTATGATAGAGAAAAAGCACAAGGTGGGGGGGAAGCATCATCTGGGGGGGAAAACAAAACACAGAGTAACTGAATAGCAAAATAGATGTTTTGCATGCTCAAAGTCCAAGAAGGAAAATTTTCAGAAGGAAACACATTTCTATATGAATTTTTTTTGGGGGCAGGAGGGAAATTGACCCAAAAGATCCCCTCCTTTAAAAACCTAATCTCTATAGGAAAATTTTATTTGCTGCGATTTTCAATCAGTTGCTGGTACATAAGAAGTAAGGGAAGCAGCTTAGCTAGTAAACACCTCAGAACACACTACTCTTTGTGTAGCTATGGAGCAAGGCGACTGCGTGAACAGAAAACCTGAGGATCAGACGGTAGAACTTATTTTCTGAATATCTATAAGTAAGAACTAGACTCTCGCACGTGTCTCCTAAATTTCTACGCCACTCAATTTTATGGGTACATTTACTCTGAAGTCAGCACATCCTGCTGTTGGGAGTCAGCACCCACCCACCCTCCTAGAGAAAGAAATATTTTGGGGGGATATTAAAAGGCAGAATATTATATTTCCCCAAAGGATCTTAAAGGCAGAAAAGCAGGCCCAGTTTTCTTAATAGCCATAGCCATAGGCAGAGGCCAGGTCTGTAGAAATGTAGATTTGATAATCCTACTCAGAAAAGTTGGGGCCTGGAAGCTTGGAGCTGATGAGATTAGAAAGACAAAGACCTCTAAAATCTACATACCCCACCCAAACTCTAAAGACATGACCTTTAGGACATAATAGGATTAACCCACCAATACCAGAAAGGCACACTGAACCTCAGGTCAAAGTTCATGCCACAGGAACAACTCCAAACACAAAAACCCAAGAAGGTATAAAAACCCACCACTCCCTATTACATGTGGTCAGTTTCCCCAGAGCCACATTTCTGTCTGCCTCTGCTCTTCAATAAACTACAACCTTCTTTCTAAAGCAGTCTCCATTTTGTTTATTCCCAGCTTGGACTGCATCCTGACGAAGATTTTTCTTTCAGCACTGCCATAGCTCTGATTTGTAAGTATTTGGGTAATCAGGCCTCAGGGAGACTAATTAGCACTTAACACACCCAAAACTATGATTTATGAGGAGCTACCATAGAGAAATCCTTCTTAAACTAGTTTATGGCTGCACTGATTGCACATCTCTGCACTTGAGTGATCCTGTTGTATCCAGTCCAGACATACTGAATTACCCTCTTAAATTTGAGGCTGATTGGAAAGACTCTAAACAAGAATAGGGATTCATGCAGAGACACCGCAGGGAAATCTTGTCTTGTGAGATATATATTTAGGGCTCACTTATGTTTCTCCTTTCTATGTTAATTTGCTTCTCACTGCACCCTGATAATCCTCTCGGTTTGGGGATCTCTGGATCGTGACTAAGTCTCCTCAGAGGTATATTTTTGTGGAGGAAATTCCAAGGAGAATCTGGCTTTATGCTCATCTAGTTAAAGCAACTCCACTTAAAATCATTCGTCAGAAGCAGAATGGCAATTGCTTATATTAACTGTGCCAAGGAAGGAAGGAAGGGAGGGAGGGAGGGAGGGAGGAGAGAGAGAGAAAGAGAGAGAGAGAGAGAGAGAGAGAGAGAGAGAGAGAGAGAGAGAGAGAGAAGAAGAAGAAGAAGAAGAAGAAGAAGAAGAAGAAGAAGAAGAAGAAGAAGAAGAAGAAGAAGAAGAAGAAGAAGAAGAAGAAGAAGAAGAAGAAGAAGAAAAAAGAAGGAAGGAAGAAAGAAAGAAAGAAAGAAAGAAAGAAAGAAAGAAAGAAAGAAAGAAAGAAAGAAAGAAAGAAAGAAAGAAAAACTTGGCCTACATCATATCTTCAGCAAGTCAAAGCACAAAGCATTGGGGGGGATCCTTCCTGAGATTAGCCATCGTTCCCCCCCCCCCACTAGTATTATTATTAATATCCATTTCTATTTTTATTCAAAACAAGGGATACCCTGTCTTCTTTTGTGAGAAAATAAAAATATTCATCCACCTCCAGGTACCATTCTTGTTCAAGCATTCCCAGATATACGTAATTCCTGTGCATGCAGGTTACAACTGTACACCGACAAACACGCAGACACCCTGCCAGGCAAACTCACGACAACTCACACCAAAGGAAAATTAACAACGGACGACGACGTTAAAAAAAACACAAAAGCGAAATAAATAAGACCTTTTAAATAAATAAATAAATTAAATAAATAGATAAAACATCCATTCGTTCTGACCGTTCCTCAAATCGCGCGCACACACACACACACACACAACAGAGAGCTCTACCAGCCTGGTGGATATTTGAAAGACCGACGGAAAGTTAAAGAAAAATCATTTAAAATCCACACGCTGCTTCCGAGCGTCGGTTCCATCCTTGTTTTCCTTGCGTATGTTCATAATGCATATCCGTTTTTTACAAAATGCATGCTTGTATTTTTTTTTTAAAATATATATATATATATATATGTATATTTATATATTTTCCAGAAGGATTTGACCTGGCAAGCAAAAGTAATCTCCCTTTCCCGCCTTGTTCTTAAAGACGAATTTAAAAAAAGTGAATACAATCTAATAAAATCTAGCCTTTAAAAAACAGAGAGAACTTAACAAGGGTTCGCTCGGTATAATTGACCATCTACAGTTGCATGCTTGACTCAGCAAAAAAAGAAAAAAGAAATTGGAAAACTGCAGCTATTTCCTATCGCCTCCACTTTTTTTTTTCATTTCTCTCCCCCCCCCCTTTTTTTTTGGGGGGGGGGAATCAAAGAAAGCAGGCCAGAACACAAATTTCTCCAGAGGAAGAATAGATAGAAAATCAAAACGATATACCTGATGCTTCGATAAGATACTTTTGTTAGTCACATGGCACTAGTAGTGGAATTGTGCGTGTGCACCCGTACCCACACACTCAACACTCGCACACACACCCTTAGTTCACACACATCACGACCTGCTTAGGAAGGAGAAGAAAGAGGTTTTTGTTTTTGTTTGTGTTTTTTTTTAGGTCAAAGAGTGCCAAAGGGCACCAGAAAGCTCACAGGTGTGTAACTTTGGAATTTAAATACCCAATTCCCATCACCTCAGATCGCGGATCCCGGAGGGAAGGGAAATTGTAAGGCATTATTTTTGCTGGAAAATAAGTCTGTCCATGCTTCGTGCGCCAGAGCTGAGTTTCAGGGGAGTAGTGTCCTTCCCTTGAATTCCTGTTTTGTTTATTTTTTTTCCTCCTGGATTTATGTTAACCTCACTCTGGTTCACTAGAGGAATTGGTTCTTTTTGTTTTGTTTGTTTGTTTTAAAAAATAATAATCTTAGGAAACAAACGCCACCCACCCACCCACCCACCAATCCCTGCCAACAAAGTGCCTTCAAATAGATTTCCGTCGTCTCATCAGCCTGTGATGGTCCGTAAAGCTGTGCAATCCAGGGGAGATTGAACTGATGGGAGATGGGAACAGGCTGTTTTTTAATGTGCTTGGTGAGATCTCCTCAATCTTGTAGGAGATGGAGTGAAAGTACTGGAGGTTC